CCAGACTTCTTGATCAAAAATCGCATCCTGCGCCCATGAAGGAGGCCAAAGGGCCCAGCAGAGCCAAATGGGGTCCACCCAACCAGGGATCATCCAAATGTAAGATCACCTTGTACCGTAATATTCGAGGCGGCTAAAATATTCAAATTTTTAAGCTCTGAAAGTCGTTAACGCAATTCTCGTGAAACAACAACAAACGAAAACGATCCCCAACAACTCAGCCCTGCAGGAAGTCAAGCATGTTTTGAGCAGGAGGAACAGCAAATCATTTTCACCCAAAGGTATCAACTGTGCACCTCATTATTATGATCATGAAAGTTAGCGTATATTTCTTTCAGACAATAAACAACTAGAAAAATTCATCAGGGTACAGTCAGATATTGAGAAGATGTCGAGAGAGATTCGAGAGAAGACTCCGAGAGGCATTGAGAGGAAATTATGGGCCAACAAATACGGGAAAAGCGTCGGTCATCAGCTGGTGTCTTTCGTCAAAAATCAACCACAAGAATCTAAGCCAGCTTTGCCCAAACATGCTTTGCCGAAAGGCCCGCGCGGTAATAAAGTAACGCAATGTAAAATCAAGGAAATCTAAAGGAATGAAATAAAATTAATACCTACTTTACGATTTTTTTCAAGTTGTGTGCAAATACTTCAAAACCGAATATTCAGAAAAGTTTGACTAGCTAGAAGATTCAAAAAAGTACCAAGAAATTATTTGACTCAATCTACTGAATGAATGAATTTCTGATGTTGTTTTGAATAAATTTCAAGTATTTTTCTACTCTTATGCGTCATAATCTTAAAATTTGTGTATTCTGACTTGATTGTATTATTGTTATTTCAAGTCATAAAGAACACTACCAGACACAAACAAATGCTGGCTCATCTGAAAGGGCTGAAGGAGAAAAACGATGAGATCCAAACCAACATTCAGAAGGCCATAAATGTAATTGAAAGGAAAATGATAGACATTTTGAGTGCTCCAGGAGATTCAAGTAGCGTAGAAGCTTTTGATCTCATGGAAAAAGAAATCACGAATGTGTTGAGCTTGATGAAATTCAGTTCCAAGAACAATTCTAGAAATTCGACGCCAAAAACCGCCGACAAATTAGGTTAGTAATTCGGCTGGGATGATATTCCAATTTTGATATCCAATATTTATATTTCTTCAGTTCCAAAGAAAACGGACTACTTGGAAGAAGATTTCAACTCTATATCAGATCAATTATTTCAAAAACTGGAGAAAATACTCGATTCTGATAAATCTAGACCTACTACTTCGGCAAGTGAATCTGACAAAAAGAACGAAGAAGTGCATAAAAAGAAACAAAAATCAGCTGGATCAAGAAAATGCCCAGCAGATGACAAATATCTGTATGAATTCTAGTCCAATTCACATTCGAATACAAAAAAATAACAAAGAACATTTTCTTTTTTCAGATCATCATCTTTGACTAGCACCTCTCTAGAAGACACGAATTTCTATAAAAAATGTAACGACAAAAATTGCTTCAACCCCAATAAAAAATCGAGGTATGGCAGATGCCCGATTTCCCTAAAACTGCAACAAAATGAACAAGCCCAGAATGAAAATTTGACTTTGGAGAAGATTGAGAGAGAATATGCCACCGGTGAGAATTGTTCAACAGAAGAAACGAAACCGAATAATCTCAACAAACAAGGAATTGATACTAAAGAGGAAACAGACAATAGTCGGGGAGATTGCATCAAACAAAGTTTCGAGAATATTTTGTCTGGCATGTTACTGGAGGAGACGATGACTAGTCCGATAGGTGATAAAACCGATATTCAGGATGGCAAAATGTCAGAAGAAAGTGAAGATGGCGCTGACAATAAAATCAACAAGAACATATTTGATTACAAATCCGCTGAAGTGAATCTGGTTGCACCTCAAACTAATAAAAATAAACTGGAAGTAGAAGAGTCAGAATCACCTGCCATAAGTGGATCAGAAGAAAGTGACCCCGGCCTATCGGATCAAGTGAATAAAATCATCAAAAGGGTCGAAGATATCTATAACCACCTGGACGATATACATATATCAGTAATATTATATACATTTATTTATACTATATGAAAAATCCCGAATTTCAAACTGCGGTTAAAATTTTTTCTTGAAAAGAACAAATCTCTGTTAATGAATTAGATATAGGAAGACTGACATTAGTACCTAAAGATCAATTTTAATATCCCTAGGACATTGATAATAGACGAGATGATTTTATGACAATCGAAAGCTCTTTCCTTGGTAACAGCTCGAAGCCGAAGACTGAGGGCTGATTCCAAGCAACGGGCATGAGAAATTTGTTATAAAATTATGAGGCATTTGTTAATGTCAGAGGGATCCTCGACGGAAAATAATTTCAAGTTGTCAAAGTCGACCGTGTTGTCATAGTGATTGAAAATTGCACTGAATGCAGTCATCAAAATTTATTGTCAGTAGTAATACTAAGTTCAAAATATTCGGATTATACATGGCTAACTTACATAATTACAAAGAGTGTCAGTTTGACAGTTGAAATATCATTCTGTTAAACTGACACGATTTGATTATGCAGAAAGTTAGAGATGTATAAACCGAGGTATAAACCTTGAATAGTTTGAAGTTCGAATTGTATGCGATGCGATTATTTTTTGAGTAGTTATTCTGAACGAACGTCATCATTTTACGACGCGCTTTGTTTGTATGTAACAATATGAATTGGTTACTATGCTTATCTCAATTGAACGTTCTGATTGGTTTAAAATCATAGGAAGAAAATAATCATGAATCAACCATCATATCAGGTATTGACATCAGTCCGACTTGGGCCACCCTGTTCTTGATATGTGTATTTTTGTAAAAGGAATGAAATGCCTAATATAGTTTCCTGATTTTTTGTGATGTAATTTCGACCACAGAGGCCATGAAAATTATGAAAATATTCGTGTTCGAGAAAAAGTTGTCGGTTTTCAATTGACCCTAGAGTTATATTCGATAAGAAAATTTCAGACGGAAATAATTTTGTAAAAATACTAGTATTAGATTATGCTGAATAATATACAAAATACCGACTTTAGTTGAGCAAATTATCAATAAGGCAGTTGGTTGTGGTTCAAATCATTATCGTAATATAACTAAATGAGTTTTTCACAAATTCATTCAGCTAGAGTTGGTAGATATATATTCTTTTGCAAGGAACTCAGAAGGAAGAAGAATGAATTCAGTATAATCACAAAATACAGGCTTTTAATTGGTGGAAAATGTTAGGTGTGAAATTTTCAAGGAAATTTGCCACCCTCTTATGAGATATTATGATACCTATGATTTTTGTTTTTTCAGAACAACGATCAGATCCCAGTGTTCAGCGAGCCACCAGACGTGTCTGACGTGCCTAGCCAGCAATTTCTCACCCCCTTCATGCAGGCTGTCAAAGAGAAGAGATCACGACCGCTCAGCCCCACCGCCAATCGACAGGGGTTCCAGCGGAGCCCCTCCTACTACAATGTGCTCACTTTTTTAGACACCCTCCAAGCCATTCAACAAGAAAAACCCATAGAGGTACACACAGCCAGGTTATGTCACTACTCTCGGTCCTTTCACGTGCCGGACGTTTTTCATCAAGCACACATAGAGTATACAGTGAAAACGGAAAAAGCCGGTTGCTTGCGGAAACACAGCGACGAAGGTAAAAGTAAACAAAAAAAGGTTTCTTTTTTAGTTCTGAAGGAGAACAAAAGTTGCCAAGCATCCATCTGTCCCTACCACAAATTCAAAGTGCTGAAAGTGTCTTCCCAACAATTCCCGTCTACAGAATATAGCGAGAATCCTATGAACGAAAGCCGTAACACCAATAAAAGCCAGTTAGAAGTAGAAGAAAAAGACGTTATTGTCCTGTGTGATAAAAGACAAAACATAAATATACACAAAGACAATAATTTGGAAGTGACCAATCCCGAGAAAATCAAAATGGTTGACCTCGAAATTGATAAATCCACTCAGGTTTATTGTCAAACTGAATCAGAAGACCAACATTCAAATGATAACCTGCATCAAGACGATTTCCAACAGGTGTCTGAGTCTTCTGCAAGCTCAGTTTCAGACAAACCACCACAAATACAAGTGTTCTATGACCAATCGGACGCAGACATACCAAAACTGGTTTTGAATAATAATAAAAGTCTTGATGGTTTTTACAGCCATCAGACCATTTTGAAAGTAAAGAATGCCGCTTTTCCGGAATTCAAACCTAGGCCAAAAATAGTCGTTTTCAGAGAGGTTTCTGAAGTGTCTGGGCTATTGCAGCCATTGAAGGATCTGGAAAAATTCAGTGGGACCAGTTTGACAAAGGGAAGTGGACAACTATTTAGTGGAGAGCAGCTCATGAAGATCGATTCTGATAGTGGTGTTGAAAATGTGGTATTGTTGAAATCATTTTATGCCTTTGTCTACATCATCATGTTCACAGCCTTGAATTTGGACTATAGATGTGCTTAAAAATGAAAATATTGAATAAAAATTTCAAGTGTTCAAATAGCTTTTCAATGATCAATTTGTCCTGGAATATAGTATTTCATTTTACAGGATGAACAGCATTAATACATAATACATTACTGAAAACATGCATTCAGATTTATGTTGGCAACTGTCACTTTCATTACCAAATCAAATACAAAACAGAATTTTGGGGGATTGATAACAAGCAGAGAGTTTCATGGAGATTAATTTTTTGAATGTGATTACCATTGGGTACTAAAATTCAATTATATTTTGAAAGAAATGTTTGATACAGCCAATTTATTTATGTTTGAACAATCTAGTTTCTATCTCATGCAATAAGAATTGATGTTGATAAGATTTGAAATAGATTTTTACCAAATTTGTATCAGTTTTCTATGATTCATTTTTTCCCTTTGATATGGACAGAAACTATTTTTTGCATAATATGTATATGAATTTTTATATATTACATTCATGATTTATTTATAACAATTCTTACCTGCATTCCTCTGCTTTCCTTTAGGAATGTGTATGCCATCCCACCAGCAATAATCATTTCATTCACCTTATCTAACAAATTTTCAATGAGTTGAATTTTGTCTGCAACTTTAGCTCCACCCAATATTGCAAGGAATGGCCTGCAAAATGATTGAAAAATCAGACTGTGGCTCTTCATCATCATCTAATAAAACTATAATCAAATGTTCTGCTAACAGAGTGGGTTCAACATGGTGAAATACTGGTACAATGAAATAAACTAACCTTGGCTTGCCTAACTTATATATATCCTACTTTCCCAACCTGAAGGATTAGAATTACCTGTGGAAGGGTTGCATAAACCTTCATTTTCGGAAAATAGGCATAATATCTACATTAAAATATGGTGTGATGGATTAACTTGAAAGGGTTGATAGCAAATACATATTATTACCTACTATAAGAAAACAAATTCAACAGTGGTGAACTATTTAGGTCTAGTCAATCATTTGTGAAGTTTTCACATTTGCTATGGATTTCCATCAACTAATGGCCAAGTCAATAAAAAAAAAAGATAATCTATCATTTAATGAATAAAAAATGATTATGTTACCTTTCTGGATTATCTAGAGCCTTGGCAAAATATTGGAGTTCCTTTTTGAGTAAGAATCCAGAAGCTCTTTGCTCAAATCCCTCACCCATCATGGAAGAATGGGCTCTGTGAGCAGTGCCAAAAGCATCATTGACATACACATCCCCCAGTTTGTGCAAACTTTCTCTGAATTCTTTCACTTTGGCAGGATCTGCTTTGGCTTTTTTCCCAGATGCATCAACACCCTTACCTACAGACATTGCAAGGTTTAGCTTATGAGACAGTCTACCTGAAATTGTGTACCTTCTTCCTCAAGGTGAAAGCGAAGATTTTCCAGCAAAATTATGGAACCTGGCTTGGGGTCTGCACAAGCTTGCTCTATTTCTGGGCCTACACAGTCATTCAGAAAAATGATTTCTCTGTATGTGACAAGACAACTTGAATTAGTACAAGTACATTATTTTGATTGTGCCAACTTTATACCTGCTAAGTAGTTTTTCTAGCTCTCCAGCAACAGGTTTCATGGTGTATTTGGGATTAGGACTTCCATCAGGACGTCCAAGGTGGGACATCAATACTACGCTCTTAGCATTTTTGTCTAGAGCATATCTCACAGAATCTAAAGCTGCTACAATGCGCTGATTGTTGGTTATTTTGCCTTCTTTCAAGGGTACATTGAAATCCACTCTGAAGAATAGACATTTTCAGATAGGGTAGCTCAACATAAATTAATATGATTTCATTGTTACCTCATGAGTACCCTTTTATTTGCTAGGTCCAAAGCATCAATAGCAAGCTTATTCAAAGCCATATTTGAAGAATTTCTTGAATAAAATGAATTCCGGCACCTTAACGAGCTCGCCAAAAATCGCTTTACAAATGTCAATGTCATATGGAGGTCAAAAATGACAAATCTAATAAAACAGCCAAAACAGGTTTCTGCAACTTTTTTGAGAGACAGTTAGGTTTTGTTTGGTTAGATATATGAAAAAAAAATATATCTATTGATCACTAATGTGAACTCTCGATGTGAATCACAAGAAGAGTATGAAAATAATTATTGTAATTTAACTTGACCATAGATAAACTACACTGACTTGACTTTCTGTTGAATACATTATAATAATATATAAATTATCAAGTTATATTGTTCAACCTATGTGATAAAGAGGTCAAATGCATGTTTTGTATGTGTCTATTCTATTTGTGAGAATAAAGTCCAATAAACTGTTCATAACAATTCCAAAATGGAATGTTATTCAGTTATTGGTATTCATATTGAATATTTGCTTGCATTAGGCAATAAATAAAATGCAATATCTTTGGGACATTAAGAAAATCTTTAATTCATTTTGTTAAACTTTTAGATCATATTCAGGTGAGTAGGTTATTACAATGTATGTTCTTGTTTCAAGAACAGGAGTAAATTCTACTCTGTCCACCTATGTGCACAGTGAGGATTTGTACACACATAATATAATCTCATCTCTTCTTCAGCTCTTCGAGTTTGGGCTTGAAAAAATACTGCTTCACTAAAAAAATAAGAGGAATTCCAGATTGGGAGCAATGGGAAATTGTGAAACTTTACCGATGACCACATTCTGGACACTGATGGTCCTCTGTTCTGGGTAATGTAGGATCAGAGATGACATCTGCCACAATATGAGTGAGTTCACTAAAATAGGTATTAGGTAGTTAATTATTAATAACAATTTGTACTCTCTACTTTGAGATTGATGTTAGAACTTACTCAATTTCATGCATAATTTTGTTGACATATATACATTTTGAGTCTGCATGCTGTTTATAGTCACAATTTCTACATGCATATGTTAAAATCTTGTTTTCTTTGTCTTCTTTTGGGTACAACATATTATTGCTAAAACACATTGTATTGAAAAATTATCAAATTGAACAGTGTTTACAAACCAACCATTCTTGGCAAAATCTAATACCCACAAATCCTGGACCTTCACTATGAGAGTCATACCCAGTGGGTTTTGCCATTTTTCAAATATCTGCGTTCGGTTCTATCAAGACAAACTATGAATATAAATTGAAATTAGGAAAATAAGGGATAATACACAACAGAAATAGCAAAGCAAAACGATAATATACAATAATGATATTAATGATTTGAAGTTTGATAAAATGTTGAGTGTTGAACCCTAACCTAAACTCTAATATTCTTCTGTTTTTATTGCTGTAGTTCGTTCGTTCTATGGTTCTAGCCATGTGGGCCTGGTTCACGTTCACAGATCCACGGGCTAGATTCCTTTCCGGTTGTGATTTTGACTTTCGACATTTTGTTGGTGTTACTTTTTTTAATGATCTTTTTTTGCTATTTGTATTGTTTGGTTTATCTGTAGATCGAATCAAAAAGATTATTAGAATAGATTCTTGCGGTGAACGTCGTATGGTGCACATCAGCCTTCTGACAGCGTCAAGAAAAAAACTCCTATCCATATTATAATCCATTATAATTCCAGGTAGAATTAACAGACACGTAAGTGTATGTGATTGTCTTTTCATTCTCTTTATTCTTTTCGAGGAATTTTCATACAAGTATTATAATTATATTTTTATTTTATTTTTTTTTCATTTTGATATTGGAACAAACATAGTTTTTTAAATCCTTGTGAGTTGAAATGGGGGATAATACCCCCGGTGACCCCGGGGGGAGTCCTTTTTCTGATGAAGATATATCTGTCTATAAAAATCTTATAAATAGATCGCCATCCACAAAAGAAGCGGTTAATCTGTTATTCAATTTTGCATATGCTAAGGAATTTGATTCACAGAAGTGTAAGGATTTGATACTAAACATTAACATTAATGAGGATTTTACGTCCGAATTCAATGAAGTTATAAGGGAAGGATTTTTCATTAATGACGAAAACGATCTCAAGGTCAAGTGTCCAGCTAAGGTAAACATCTTATCTGACCTGGTCATACAAAAAGCATACAACAATATTTCAGAAAAAAAGAACAAAAAACATAACTCTCTAGATAAAATTAATTCTGTTGATAGGGAAGGTAAACGCATTAAAATAGATATAGTTCCAGATAAATCTCAATCAGACAAAAATAATGATATGGAAATAGCTTCCCCTGGAAGTGAGGAAATACATATTGATAAACAATTTTTGGAAAATAGATATGAAACTTCAGACCGAGGTCCATATAGTATATACATCGAATCATTAGATAAAAATATTGGCTTTCTATCTAGTTTAGCAGTGGGAAAAATCTTTCATATAAGCAAACAATATAATCCAACTTCAATTGATAGAAGAGGCAAAAACAGATTGATGCTAACATTTAAAAAAATGGATGAGGCTAACAAATTGCTAGATGATAATCATTTTCTATCTACTAATAAATTTAGAGCTTCAATCCCTAATAATATGGTTACATCTAAAGCAATAGTTAAAGATATTGACTTGGACCTTACAGAAGAAGAAATTCTAGATAATCTTAGAACAATAGATAACAAAAGAGTAATTCATGTTAGAAGATTAAAAAAGAAAGTAATAACAGATTCAGGTATCCAATATAAGGATATCCCAGTCATTCTTATTACTTTCCGAGGAAAATGTATACCAAACAGAGTGTTTATGTACTCTTGCTCATTTGAAACATTAAATTATTATGCACCGGTGATACAATGTCATCAATGTTTGCGATATGGACATACAAAAAATCAGTGCAGAGGAAAAGTACGATGCCCTAAATGTGGAGAAAATCATGGTATTGAGAAATGTAAAGAACAAGAAATGTCATGTATATTTTGTGGAGGAGATCATCTCACTAGCGAGCCAGATAAATCAGTGAAAAATAGAATTTGTCCAGAATTTCATAGGCAGAAAAGAATCAAAGAAATAATAGCAGAAAGAAATATAACCTTTTTCGAAGCATCTAAGATTATTCCGATGATAGATAATAATAAGAGAAATGAGCAAAATAGTCAATTTAATTTCAATGTAAACAATTTTCCACAATTACCTAATGATGATACAACTTTTTACCAATCTATAAATGAAAATACTCCCTCCCGGGTAAAAACTCCGCAAGGATACAATAAAATAACAAGAATAAAATCCAATATTTCCTCTAATCATAATACTCATAGCAAAGATAAAAACTATAGGGAAAGAATTTCTGGAATGAGTCAACAACACAGAGATTGTCTCATTAGTCCTGATGGCCAAATAAGGTCGTCTCCCTCTGTGATGCCTATCAATGAATTATCTAGAGGATTACCTCCACCAATTAGTTATACAAAACAAAAAATTAGAGATGATATTAGCAACATCTACTTCAAATACCCCGAACTCTTTCTTGAACTTATTAAGGAATTCGTTCCACCTACTGACAATTTTGATTCAACAGAACTTGGAGAGAAAGCTTCTTCATGGTAAAGCTGAGTATACTCAACTGGAACATGAGAAGCTTTCATGCCAATAAAGTCAATTTATGTAACTTACTTGAAACTATTCAGACAGACATAGTCTGTTTAACTGAAACTTGGTTAAAACCTAATCAATACATATCAGTTAAAGGATATAAATCATTAAATCATTACAGAGACGATGGAAAAGGTGGTGCTGGGTTTTTGATCAAAAATAATATCAAATTTAATAAGTTAAATATCCAATTTCAAATCCCTCATAGAGTAAATATAATGGGAATTAAAATCAAAGATATAGACATTTTTTCTATATATATACCTCCTGATATTTCTGTTCCAGAAAATTTCTGGACAAATCTTACTGATAATCAGAAATTTATTCTATGTGGAGACTTCAACTGTCACCACAAAAGTTGGGGAAATTCTATTAATAATAGAGGAGGAATTGAGCTTAATTCTGCCATAGATGATGGTAATATGATTATCATAAATGATCTTCAACCCACATTGCTTTCCAGTCAATCAAAAAGTGTTATTGACCTCATTATCATCTCTGCAAATTTATTAAATGATGTGAACTTTTGCAATACAGTAAATGACACATATGGATCAGACCATTTCCCAATTCATACAGAAATAATGATAGATAATTGCATAGATAAAAACCATATAATAAATAATGACGATAGAAACATAAGATACAATTATAAGAAAACCAATTGGTTAGACTATGAGAGCAACATAGATACTTTGGATATTGAATCATATGAAGATTTAGTTCAGGCAATGAGATGGAGTCTTTCACAGAACACCCCAACTATAAATACTAACAATAGAAACAATTATATGATGAAACCGCCTTGGTGGGATGAGGAATGCTTAGACGCTATCAAAAAGAGGTCAGCAAGCTTCAAAAAGTATAAACTAAATTCTAATATTGAAAACTTTATAGAAATCAAAAAAGAAATAGCTAAATCCAGGAAAATATTCAAAAATAAAAAAAAGAAAGCATTCAAAAAATTCACAGAGTCTTTATCCAGAGAAAGTGACATCTCTGATGTATGGCGTAACATCAAAAAATTCTCTAGGCCATTTAATTTTGAACCTAATAATCATGATAATGATATAGACAACACGACTTTAGTAGAATCACTATTAGATAAATTCTGCCCTGCTGATATACAGAGACCTCCTCCTGAGGTAGACAGAATTCAGATCAATAGGGACATTAATTATACCTTTACAGAAAGAGAAGTTAGATGTATTATAGGAAAACTAAAAGCTACATCACCTGGAAAAGACGAAATCACTTATAAGATGATTGAACATTTACCAAAAAAGGCGTTCAAATGGTTAGTAAATTTCTACAATGACATATGGTTAAATGGTGTAGAAACGCCTAAAGAATGGAATGATGTTATCCTTATCCCTATATTAAAACCTGGGAAAAATCCGAATGATTTTAATAGTTATAGGCCAATTGCTCTGACATCATGCTTAAAGAAAACATTTGAACACCTCATCAAATACCGTTTGGACTGGTGGTTAGAGCATAATACAATACTTCCTGACAATCAATTCGGATTTAGAAAGGGAAAGGGTACTATAGAAGCACTGTTTCACTTATATGCTGATATTTTGATAAGTAATCTGAAAAAAGAAAAAACTTTAGCTGTATTTCTGGACATCAAATCGGCATATGATAATGTTATCCCGGAAATATTAATTAAAAATCTACTAGATATAGGAATAAATAGAAATGTGGTCAAGATAATTTTTGAATTGATAAAAGAAAAAAATATGTATATTAGAGACAAAAATCACAAAATCTGGGGTCCAAGGAAATGCTATAAGGGCATTTTGCAGGGTTCAGTGTTGAGTCCAATTTTATTCAATTTATACACTATATCCCTATGGGACGCAATAACTCCACATTGCAAATATATCCAATATGCAGATGATATAACTATTTTCAAATCACTCAAAAATACACGCTTTGCAGAACATCACATTAATCGAGCTTTATCTTCTATAGAAAATTGGTTACAAGATCATGGTCTATCAATCTCAACCGATAAATCAAAAGTTATGGTATTTTCCAAATCCCACCAACAAGAAAACATAAATATTGAAATAGATAACAACAGAATTGCTCAGGTCGAAAAGCACAAAATTCTGGGCATCACCTTTGATAGGAAAATGACTTGGAAATTTCATGTAACTGACTTAATTAATAAATGTAATAAAATTTTAAATATTCTCAGATATTTGACGAAAGTTAGTTGGGGAGCTGATCCTAAAATTATGCTAACTATTCATAATGCATTAATCTCATCAAGAATCGAATATGGTCTAATGATCTATGGAAATACCAGTAAAAATAATATAAAGAAGATATCCAGTATTCAATACAAGTCACTAAGAATCTGCTTGGGTCTTATGAAATCATCTCCTACCAATGCTATTCTAGTAGAGGCAAATCAATATCCCTTGGACATAAAACAAAACCTTATAACCCTTAAATTTATTGTAAAACAACTAGGCATCAAATCAAATCCTATAATTAAAATAATGAAAATATTTGAACAAACGGTAACAAACATGCATTGCAACAAATGGAGAAATAGTATGTTATATAACTCTATTCGTGAGTCCTTGTTGCCACCGTTTAACCAAGTTATATCTTCAAGTAACCATCCTGCATTCAATATTCCACTCGAAAGTATATATGACAAGTATGAGATTTATCATAGTATAGGTATTGAGAAAAAAGACAAAATTCATAGGTCTAATAATTCGAAATTCCTAGATATCATTAATGAGAAATGGCCTAACCATAAATTAATTTTTACTGATGGGTCCAAGACTGAAGACAAGACATCGTTTGGTATATATATTCCTCACAAAAATATGACGAAGGGGGGAATAATCCACCCAAAATCCTCTATTCTTTCTGCAGAACTAATGGCAATATACTTTGCATTATTAATAATAAATGATGAACCAGATAGATATTTAATTTGCTCGGATTCTAAGAGCGCAATTACAGGTATGCATAATAACGTAATAAATACTAGTACTAATTATATATATCTTAAAATTAAAGAGACATGGTTTGAGCTTAAAAAGGAAAATTTTGAAATCATACTTTGCTGGATTCCAGGCCATTGTAATATAGAAGGTAATGATAAAGCAGATGAAGCAGCCAAAAATGCAAATATTAGATACAAAACAGACAAAATCCAAAATTTGGACCTGATTCCCCATATCAAAACTCTTATGAAAAACAAATTCCAGAATTTCTGGAATGAGACTTCAAACATTAGAGGTAAAAGACTTAAAGAAATTCAACCCCTTATTCAAATTAAACCTTGGTTCAGCACTTGTCAATTCCTCCCGAGGAAAATATATTCAGCAATAACTAGACTGAGAATTGGACATTGTAGTTTACCAGATCACCTATGTAGAATCAAAATAAAGGAAAACAATCTTTGTGATTGTGGGAAAATAGGAGATATTAACCACTTCTTTTTCGAATGCGATAATAATAAACAAAACATTGATAATCTATATTCAAAGTTAATAAAATCAGGGCTCAAACCTCCACTCTCATATCAAATGATTCTAAGAGACTTAAATCATGACAAAATAAAAATGTTGAGTAAATTTATTGAAAAAAGTCTGATTACTATCTGAATACTGTATGGAAATTACTGGAACAATTACTCTATTTTACTTCTATTATCTTTGTAGAATTGTGATGTTCTATGGGAACCTTGAATGTTATAAAACTCATCCATACTTTAACAAAGGGAATTAACATGTCAATCACCTTCCTAATCCTTAACATAAAGTAAATACATCCTATACCCGATCTGGTGGAATTGGCACCGCAAGGAGTCAGAAAACCAATAAAGACAACAGAAGAAGAAGAAGAAGAAATCAAAAATCAAAGATAATGATTTGCTCGATCTGTTTCAAGAATGAACATATTTTTGATGTTAATGTAGACGATAAAGGTGACTGTACATTATTAAGAAAATTCAGAATATGCGTTCCTGAAGTGGTAAATTCTTGTTACAATATTTCCAGTTTTTGTCACCATCCGATATGATTTCATTCCAGATTTGGGATAAATCTTTCAAACTGTGTGTACAATGTGAACATAATCTGGAAAGAACATATGATTTCAAAGAATTATGTATTAATTCATACACATCTTGGAAAAACATTGAATGTGTTCCTCAAAATAATGTGGAAACCAATTCAGATAATGAAAACTCTTCTGCACCAATGGAAGAGCCTGATGACGATTTTGCAAAAGCAATTGGTACCAAAAGTGAGTCAAAGAAGCAAACTGGAAATAAACACAATATGATGACAAATAAAGTCATTTCTAATAAAGCATTATGAATTATGATTATGTGAATATTTTGGAAATTTGAATTCACAAACCATAAGTTTACCATATCTTTTTTAACTTTTGTAGATGATCCTAAAAATGAAAATACAACAGTGATTAAAAATGAAAAATATGTGGATAATGAGAGGACACCAATTACTGTGGGAGTAAAAAAAACAGATAATGGTTCAACATGTACTTTATGTGGGACTACATTAACTAATAAATACCTTCTAAGAAGACATATTCAAAATGTGCATGCTACAGAAAAAAAATATAGGTGTGAGATGTGTCAAAGAGCTTTTACATCAGCTGTTTATCTGAGTGCTCACAAAAGGTATTTGCTTTATAGTTTTTAGAAAAAAACATTAAATTACATTTTCTATTATCTGTAGGTATCATACAGGAATAAGGTCTCATATCTGTTCTACTTGTGGTAAAGGCTTCATCACTGCAAGTGATTTATATCATCATGAAAAAATACATGCAAACAAGAGGGCTTATAGATGTGAGACATGTCCCAAGGCATTCAATACTTCTTCAGACTTGCACAAGCACAAAATTTGTGTGCATTTAGATAGATCTCTCTGGAAGTATGCTTGCACTTTGTGTGAAAGGAAATTCCCACTGAAAATCAATTTGGATAGCCATATAATGGCACACAGGGGAGAGAAAAATTTTTCTTGTCACCTTTGTGATAGGAAATGTATCACAAAATCTGTATTACAAAACCACATCCAGACACACTCTAACATCTTGACCTTGGTTTGTGGCCTATGTTCTCAAACCTATAAGTACAAAAAGTCATTGAACCATCACATGGTCAAAGCTCATGGTATTGGGAATGTGGTGAAATTCTCCCAGTCCACAAAAAAAACTTGTTAGATAGATGGGCTGTAGATCAAGCATCAAAAATAGACTATTGTACAATCATTTCTAAGGTAATTCTATTATTATGTTTCTAGTATAAAAACAAAACAATATCTACTACTAGGTATATCCATGCTACTCAGATTTTCAAGTATTTTTGTACAATAAAAACAGATTATCCAGAACATAATACAATTTCACATAGGAAGTAAGTATACAGAAAAATATGAAATGTTCAAATAAAAAGTAGACCTTCCCAACCTTCCTTCCCAAAAGTATATCAGCTAACAGAATTGTTTTTCTGAGGAATTTCCATGTGTCCAAATGTCTATAACATGAGAAGGGCTATCAAATCATAATTTTTTCTCTGCCCAGTTTATAAACCTGAAATATTTTTTGTAATTAGGGAAGTTAAGGAAGGAGAGCAACTGTATTATGTTATCACTAAAGTTATCACTTTGTATGAAGAAGTTACTGTTCTCAGACAAAATTGAAAATTTCATTCTGTAGACTACAAATGGTGGTTTGTTTATACAGGGTGATTCAAAAGTAAGCGGCATCCTTTCAGAGGCGTATTCCTTGCATGAAAATAAGGCAAAAAGTTCCTATTGATAAGGATCCGAAAATGCTTCCTAAGGGAGCTACGGCCCTTTGAATAGGACACCTCAAAGACGGTTTTTTCTCTATAACTTTAAAATCCTTCACAACAAATTTTTAAAAATTGGTGTACGGCATAAACATTCGATGGTAAATAGGACTCCGTATTTGAAATAATTTCCAAACGAAATCACAGTAACCTGAATATCCGGAGAAGAAGGGATATTTTTACACTTACCCTCTCCCGCATGTGACGCCCCTGAATGAAATTCTGAAATTTCGAATACGGAGTCCTATTTACCATCGAATGTTTATGCCGTACACCAATTTTTAAAAATTTGTTGTGAAGGATTTTAAAGTTATAGAGAAAAAACCGTCTTTGAGGTGTCCTATTCAAAGGGCCGTAGCTCCCTTAGGAAGCATTTTCGGATCCTTATCAATAGGAACTTTTTGCCTTATTTTCATGCAAGGAATACGCCTCTGAAAGGATGCCGCTTACTTTTGAATCACCCTGTATAGTACATTAGAGATTATATGTATAAGGTGTGTATACATGTATAAGGTGTGTATTAATGTATAAGGTGTTAATTTATAAGTGTTTCTTGAATTATTCAAATTGATGGCTGATATCTATTCTTTTAATATCAGCCAAAGACATTTCTCAAATTTGTGTGTTGCTTTGTTAGCTTCTTTGGTAGGTATCGACGACTGTGTACATTCTATTGAGGCTAATCGACGGCCTCGTCGTGTCAGAAGTAGGTTACAAACTTAACAAACCTACCAGCGAGAGGTATTCGACGTTCGTGCCGCTGCCGGTACGATTTCTTTATTTTCTCAGTCCTCTTTCACCAGTTGTACCGTCCGTCGATTAAAAGCGAACGAATCGGTAATTGAGTTGAGAAAACTCTCGCTTTTCCCGCTATTTCCTGATTCTTATTTTGCTATACCTAGCTATAAACCTATCCTAGCGCTTATTCATTCACTTATTTTAAGTACTGTCTAGACTAGGCCGGGTCGATCTTATCGATGTTTGTGGTTCCTTCTTCGTCATTGTCATCGCCTGTGAGACATTGATACGGGTGGGTACGGTTCTCAAAGTGGTTTTTTTGGTGAATTGATGCTCGAGATAAAGATATCTCTGGTATAGGTGAGCAAGTGCTTATGAAAGTTTCCAGGAAGCAACACCAAGGGTATACAATTTTTTTTTTATTTTTTAAGTCGATGATCAAGATTTTGTTGATCAAATTCGTCATAAAAATATTTCTTCACCCACCTTCCTCAATTTGCATTTGAGGTCGGAAACTATGAATCTCTATAAATATAATGAATAGATTTTCAAAGTCTGAATGAAATGTCGAAGAGCAACAATTTAAATATATGCACCCGATTCCGGGTGATCAGTATAACTAATTTGACAGTGCATAAAGCGATTGTATGTATTTTCATTAAAATTACCCGCAGTACCCGCTGTATGATTATACAGGGTGTTTCAGACTTGAATGTACATACGAAACTTGTAGATAGAGGACACTTTCAAATCACCCCCCATCAAAGTGTCCTTTATAACTTCATCTGGTCATACTTTCTGAACCACTTTTTATAATGTATTCATACTTTGTAGAAATATTCAAATTATTATACACTTCAGAACTAAATTAAAATCGAGATCAGAATCCACAAGTCCGTCTTAATGAAAAACAGAAAACTTCTTTTATTTCAAAAACAACACTCTGTATGCCAAAATGTTGTGAATCTATTTTGATATTTGGTATATGGTTCATTATTATATTTTGAAATATTCAGATCCATTTCGAGGCATTTTTATTGAACTTGTGATTCAAAATCCAATTTTTATTAAAAAAATAATAGTCTTCAAAGTTCTACATCATTAGAGTCGAATTAAGTGAACTATTGATAGATTTGTTCGTTTGACAAAATAACTTGTCAATGATTTTAGAAATTTTCGAGGACTCTTTTTATTATTCACTATTTATTCATAAGCTCCGGTAAGTAACATCTGTCAAATCAGATGCGCGATCGTAAAAAGTAAGTCACTTCATTCGGTTTTTCCTGCTCTTTTCAGATATTGAAACAGATCAACAAAATTTTGCTACAGAGTGTTGTTTTTGAAATGAAATAAGTTTCCTGACCTGGATTCTGATTCCGATTTTTATTCAGGTTTGATGGGTTTTCTAAGGGAGATAATTAATTCTACCAAGTATGGATAGATTATACAAACTGGTTCAAAAGTTATGACCAGATGAAGATTTTGCCAAAATCAAGATAACGTCCTGTATCTCAGTTATAAAAGACGGCAGATACATCAATGGGGGGTGATTTGGAACCATCAATGGGTCCTCTATCTATAGGTATCGTGTGTACATTTCAATCTAAAACACCCTGTATAGTAAGGAAATGAATTAATACTTATAATAAGCTCTCCTTTGAATAACTATTATCAGATGCAAGGTAGGTAATTAATTAAATTTATTAGAATACGGTCATAGTAACGTATTTTACCTCTATTATAAATAATTAATAATCTATGTAATGTACCTATACCTGAACACTTAATGTGCATACAATATACATATTTATAACGTTAACGTACGTTCTTCCACTTGAATTTTCCTCCAAGGTGGATACACTTTCTTTCATGCATATCAAATACAGCACATCTAATAGGATATCACAGTGAAAGTGAAACAGTAATTTACATTTCTCATTTCCATAAAGAACCGGAAAATCGTGATTACCTCTACGAGATTTTTTTTATTTGTTCCAAATTGCTTGATGGTTGATATAGAAGCAAACTCACTGTAATGCAATTCATATCTTACTAGCTGACCCGGCAAACGTTGTTTTGCTATAAACATTATTTCTAGAGAAACATTTTTAGATAAATGTTTTTCTACTTCTTTTTAGTATCGCTATCCATGAAAGCGGGATTCTTTAGTTTTTCAAACTACTCTTTATTTTCTACTCACTTCTTTTTATATAGGCTATCAATAAAAACGTGTTTCATTAGTATTTCAAACTACTATTTTTATTTTCTACTTCTAATCAGTTTGGCTATCCATAAAAGCGTGTTTCATTATATAGTTTTTCAAACTACACTATACATTACAAAGCTATTTCGTCATATTGGATCCGCCGAATTTCCCAATTCTAAAGAATAAAATCATAATCTCCAACTCCGAAAACCCCCACATACCAAACTCGTCCACCATATTAGATCCGCCATTTTTAATTTCCTAATTTTGACGCAGGAATCATAATCTCCGACCTCGAAAACCCCTAGTTACCAATTTTGATAGAATCTGATCATAATTACAAAAGTTGTCCGCCATATTGGATCCGCCATGCGGAATTTCCAAATTTTGACGGAAAAATCATAATCTCTGACCCCAAAAACCCCTAGATACAAATTTTGAATGGAATCTGATCATAATTAAAAAACTTATCCGCCATATTGGATTCGCCATCATGAATTTTCAATTTAAAAAATAGATTACGACCGATTCTCCTACCTACCGAATAGGCACAACAATTTTCATACGAATCGGTCGAGCCGTGGAGGAGTTTAGCCACTAACACCGTGACTGGGACAGGAGAATTATATTATATTATTATTGTACGGATTGTATCCATAATAGAGATTAAACTCGTAGGTATGCCAGTTCTTCCTCCAGGTATAATTGAGTGATACACAATATTGCCTGAGGCACTGATAAGTTGATTTCCTGTATGAGTAATACCACACAAAATTCAATAGCATGATGAATAATACATCGTACCAAGAAAATCGACACCGAAAGTCCCGAAAATGAACTCCAACCATAGTACCTATATTAGATAAACGAATGTGATGATTATTGTTGTACTTTAAAAAGTAGCATGAGAGAAGTTATTTGAATACTCCTAGGTGGATTTTTTGTAACCTTAGCTTTGGCCTCTTTTCAACTATAAATAAGTGTTTTGATAAAATTCATAAACTGTACAAAATTAACAGGCATGTCTCATAACTGATGAAAAAGTAACTAGTCGATGTCAATATCTGAAGAATTGAAATATTCCATGAGAAATATTTGGATATTTCGCGTAGGATAATATATAGCCGACCGTGGGTGGTGATACCACAGATTACTGTATAGTCCACCTATATGGTCGAATATTTGAAGCAGACGTTCGTTCTTGATGGTTTTAAACGTGATCGAGTAAGTGAAGTAGGTACTTAAGAAATATGAATGACCCTGTATAGTCCAAATGGAGTCGGTTATGTAAAATGAATAATAATTGGTGTCCAAAAAAAAATCAGGTACGTAAGTAGTAGATTGACTGCCGCGGCTGATAGTTCATAGCCGTGCGTAGCGAGGCTAGGAATTTAGCCAAGGAGGTCAATCAACAATTCCTGCCGTGAAAACATTTAATTTTTTCTCCAATTGTTATAAAACCAATTTTGTGTAATTTTTCCATTGAAAACTCCATTTTGTGTTCACCCAATGACAGTGTCGATTTTGATTACCCATTTGATTAAAATTTCTTGGAACGTTGTATAGCAACAAACTTTTCCTGCCTAGGCAGAGAAAGTACAAGTTTCCTTCCTATTAGGTGTCAGAGAAAAGCCACTTCTCCGGCCACTTGGACAAAAATGATAATTTGACTCTTTTTTTTTAGAATGGAAAGTGCAGCTTTCCTCGTCCTACTATTATCAGTTCTCGTATATGAAATTGACGGACATGGAAGGTTGATAGAACCCCCGAGTAGGGCTTCTGCTTGGAGATATGGCTTCAACACCCCTCACAATTACAATGACCATGAGCTGTTCTGTGGAGGATTCACCAGACAATGGGTGAAAAACGAAGGAAAATGCGGTGTTTGTGGGGATCCCTGGGATTCCAAGTAAGATAGTTGTCTCGTTCAATCTCTATAATGTTTCACTACTTGTTGGTGTCTATAATTACTCTGGTTGTTGAAATAATGTGCTTATTTATTAAAACAAGTTTCAAAAAGACTTTGGAGAGAAATGACTCAACATTCACAATTATAATTATCATTAGAGAGAGGTATATGACCTTCTACGGAAGAAAAAAATAGTGTGAATAATACACTATTTTTTTCTGTGACAGGAAAAAGGACGAATATTGATTTTAATTTAAATATAAACTTTTTTCCCGTCACAGAAAAAAAAGTGTATTATACACGGAAAAATATTAGATTTTACACAACATCGTGCTAAAATCTATCACTTTTTTCCCTTGTATATTAAATAACTATTTTTCAATAAATAGTTCCAGTATGTTTTGCAAAAATTGTCTTTTTTATTATGTTATGATTTTGGATTTGGATTTCACGCCACAGGCCATAAACGCCTACTTTACGCCCTTGATACATAAATAACTATTATGTTCAATTGTCGAATAGCAAAATAGGCCATATTATGAAGTTTTTCGGAGGTCCCAACATAAACAGTGGGTAATTCTGGTTCCCAAGAACTTAGTGCGAGTGGAAAAGGTCTCTGTGGGCAATACATCTGTTAGAATCTTCGGCGATGTTCTTATTCCAACCCTGTTTTTCAAGGTCTCCCAGAGCCCATGATTACGGCGGCACGTACGGCCAGGGCGTCGTGGTGCGCAAATACGCCGTCGGCAGCGTCATTTCGATCAGAGTGGAGTTGACTGCCAGCCACTACGGCTACTTCGAATTCTCCGTTTGCCCGAATTACAAGAACCCCACGCAACAGTGCCTCGACGGCAACCTGCTGAGGTTGGCGAAACCCCAAGAGAACGTCGACCATCGCGGAGTGAGGTACTTTCCGAAGGACGGCAGCAAAGTGTACGAGATGAAGTATCGCTTGCCGAATAAGAGCTGCGATCACTGTCTGATGCAGTGGAGGTATATTGCCGGTGAGATATTTTCTGAATTTTTCTTGCCAATGACTCATTTTGGACGAGCCATTTTCAATTTTGGTCGGCCTGGTCACTAACATAGTTAGAAAACACGTGTAGAGGAATAAAAAATCGGTTTGGTTAGTGGTAAAACAGTGTGTAGTGTATTATCCTGCCAAAGGTTCCAGTCTTCGATATATCAAATGTGTCAAAAAAATGCTACTGTATCCCCAACCATTGAACTCAATGTAAACAACTGGAAGGGAGACTGCCGTTTTCTCGAATAGAATAACCTGTGTCAGGGGCAGCTGCAACAAAGATAGCTTGTGTAACGGTAACCTGTCTCTTTCACTCTCATGTTGTTTAATGGTGGATTGGTGTATACATTTTTTTTTTATCCATTGATTTTTTCGCCTTTTGACCATGGAAGGAGACACATGGCGTCTCCAGGTCAAAAGTCAGGTTAATGTGTGTGCAAGTCTATAATTTTTCTAATTACCTGATCTGGATTGAAATCCAATATTTATTGTGAAGTTTAATAAGTGTGTGTGAAAATTATAAAGCCCTTTTATCTCTACGCCGGTATAGAGGCCGGATGGTGACGGATTCACCGGATAAAGGGGCCATACTTAAAATCAAACGTGCTCAGCATGAGCACATACGATAGAATCTTTGGACATTGATGAACTCGGCTGCCGGGCATGGTGACGGACTACGGTGTCTTTAGTGCTCGAGTCGAGTGACAATATTATTACATAACCATATATTATATTCTTGAAAAAATTAATTACCTGATCTGGAGAAATTGTTACCGAAAGGTGACAGAAATCCAATAAACCCAAAAGAAGAAGAAGTTTATCCATTGATTTTTTATTTTTTTTTGCAATTGCATTACCTCGTTGGTTTGGCGTGTTTCGTTTCTTCAAATGGAATGAATTTGTTGGTGTGAATTGATTGTTGTTGAAAAGGTTTGTGATTTCGTATTAATAAACATTGGTTATTCATATTGTGTTGCCTTTGGATGCGAAACAAGCAAGACAAACAGAAATTGTCCTTCATGGGTAAGTTGAAAATTGTTCAGATTCTTCGAAAAACTATAGCAATTTATTTTCAGGATGTGTCTGTGGATTTGTGTGTATGGATCTCCATAACTTGGAATCTAAGGACAATGTTTTTCATATGGACATTGTCTTTTCAGGTTTGCCTTTGGAACTTCTTCTCCAGAAAGGAAAAAATGAAGTTGTACATTCTGGGCGACGCAGATATACATCTTTAATGAAACAGTTCGTCCAAACATTGTACTTTTATTCACCATTCTAATAGTGAAATGTATATGGAAAAATAGGTACTCTTGAAAATTAGGTTTAAAATAGACCTTAGGTACTCAATACCATTCAAGAACTTCTTTTCAAATGTTCAAATAGTGCACACATTGAGCTTCGCTCAGTCCAGGGGCGGATGGGACATGGTAAACCGGCCCGGGAAAACAAGCACTGGCGGCCTGGCCTATAGATACCTTATCTTAATAAAAAAAATGTTTTTATATAATAATCTATTTTTTTGTTAGATGAACCTATGGGTCTTTATGAGAGAAAAAAAAAGAAAAAATGTGCTTCGCTTCAAGCATTTAATATGAAACAGTAGGAAACATTGTGTATAAAACTAAAGAAATAAACTCTACACAGTTATACGAAACAAGCACCAAGTAACAAAAGACAAATGATAACATCGAGGAACTTAAATAGAAGGAAAGGAACTAAACATTTGGCATACATTGCAAAATAAGAAAACAACGGAAAATCTAAAACCTAATGAATCCAATCCAAATTATATTTTATAAAAAATAGTGCAAATTAATAAGGATTTAACGAAAAAGTAATCTTTTCATTAATGCGCTCTGTCCAGCTAAAGCATTGATAACTTCTTCATTGTCAACCTGGTTCAACACAGTACGTTCAATATTCATTAACATGAATGACTCAAGTCTATTATCAGATAAGGAATTTCTTAAGCGAGTTTTTATAAATTTAAGAATAGAGAATGACCTTTCACATTGTACTTGAGATATGGGAAGCGTTAAAAGGTAGTGATATGCAGTAAATAGCGAAGAATAGGCCCCCTGAAACATATTATATTTTGTAATAACAGAATAGCAGCATATAGCACAATTTTTACAAGCAGCCGATTCTTTGGAATTGGGGACACTATCAGATTCTTCTTCAACGTCAATCTCTATGTCCTCAATATCTGACCTCTCTGATATTATATAAGTATCTTCGATGGTCAATTTGAATCTGTTCCAGTTTTTTGCAAAGTTGAGAAGTTCTTCTCTTAAATTTTCAGGAGTAGCAGACGAATTATATTTGATGATTTTTGCAGAAAGTCTTTCCATACAAGCTGAAAGCGATTCAAGAGAGTCATTGCATGCAATTTGTTCGAAGTTTTTTGGGTCTAAAGCAGCTAACTGCTAAATCCCTACATAAATCCATATTTTTTGAAAACCTTGTCTCCATCGAGTTCAATGCAGTGTCCATCAAGATATTGAAGGTATTCACTCTGAACTTGTCTACTTCCGTATTTGGTTGTTCATCGATAGTTGCCTCATCAAAAAAAGTTTTAACCCTTCTACGACGAACTTCTTGAAAGTTCTCCTCAATTGTTGCATCTATTCCTTTTGAAATAAGTTCTGCTTTAGCCCATGTTATAAATTTTTGCGTAGCTTCACTAATACTATTCAAGTCTCTTTGGAATGAACGTAGATCATTTATAGCTGTTTCAATCATACCGTTACACTTGAGCAGATCTAAACCTTTAGTTTGCAAATACCTTGAAACAGGACCGGTAATACTGAATATTTTTAAAAATATATGAGCGGTTGGTTTTGGTTTTCCCATGCTGTTTTTGAATTGTGGACGGGCCGGAGCGTATTGCTGGAAGCCAAATCGCGGGGCAGGTCTCGTGTCCGGCCACAGGTGACAGCCAACAGGAATCGAAGATGATTCTTTTTTGACTTGGACCGAACCGGCCCGAAAGCAACCGGCCCTTCGGGAAATTTCCCGAGTGCCCAGCCGGCCCATCCGCCCCTCACCCTGTACAAAATATATTGTGTAATTTGAATGAGAATATATAATTTCAGTTTTGTATTCATTTGACTTCCTAATCCTGTAAGAATCCTCTTTCCTAAATGAATATTTATATTTAATCATGTTTACTCTTAAATAAAAGCAAAAAACGAGAAATAATTTCAAATAATGCAAGCGCTTCCCATTGGCCAACATAAGATAGAAAGAGATAGGTATCCGTAACTACTGCGGGTTTCCTGAACAATCTGTTTGCCTCACTCGTCGTTCACAGAGGATCCCTTCACATTGAGTTCAATGAGCTGAACTGCTCTTTTCGGTATGTTTGAAAAAAATTCTTATATTCTGGCAGGTAACAATTGGGGCAACTGTCCGAACGGTACAGGAGCTGTGGGCTGCGGTCCTCAGGAGGAGTTCCGCGCATGCGCAGACATCGCCATTTCGGGCAAATCCGACCTGCCGATGGTGCCCGAGCTGGAGGAAGCGCCTGCTTCCAGTACGACGACGGTGGCGCCTCCTGCCGTCCCGACGCCGCAGGATTCCTACAGCCCCATATCTACCTTCCTTGTCACTCTGGTGTCTTTTTTAGTGGTATTTTCGATATTTTTCCTTATCTACTGTCACTTCTACCAGGTTGGTAGCCAAGTGAAGAGGTGGATAGAGGGGCCCAGCAAGGAAAAAGAAAAGGTGGCGGCTGGCCCACCGCAGCCCCCACCTAGAGCCAAAAGGGCCAAGAGCCCATCGAGGAAGCAGGATGTTGGGGACGACATGCACGAAGTCGATTTGAGGACTGATAGTATAGCATGAACCAACACCGGTTCTTTTCTTTGCATGTGGGCATGTTATTTAATGTTCAGCTAGCGTTGAGACAGATCTTGTCTGAATTCAAAACTTGATGTTTTTACCCAAATCACCTAGACGAAATGTGTCTCTTGTCTGAGTTACAGGGTGTTTTATTTGGACTTTTGAAAATAATTTTCGCCCAGTACTTAATTCAACGTATTACATATTGTCATATTTGGTAGGGAGTGTGAGTCCTATACATCCTATTAATTATCTTGAATTAACGTTTCTGGCTATTACCAGAGGCGTACGACAGGGGCAAGTGACTGGTTGATCCCTCACAAATAATTGTGCAGCTTCATGTTTGACTTTATCGCTATGAGGAAAGAGTACAATATCTACCTGAAAATTGTTGGAGAATCGGAAAACTATGTTATAATTGTAATTTCGCCAGTGGCGTAGAATTTGGGAGGGTACAACCAGTAACTTTTGCCCCTGTCGTACGCCTCACTGGTAATAGCCAGAAACGTTCATTCAACATAATTTTAGTAGGGTGTATAGTACTTACACTCCGCACCAAATATGACAATAATACGTCGAATAGTTTTCAAGTACTGGGCACGAATGATTTTTAAATTTCCAAATGAAACGCCCTGTAACTCAGATAGGACACATTTTATCTAGGTGATTTGGGTTGAATCGTCATATTTTGAGTTCAGGATTCTATAATTGAAATATTTCCAATTAGTAAAGAATCACCCTGTATATTTTGGTGTTAAAAAAATGATACATGAAAGAATCCGCCCGGGTTCTTTCTTCATGCATTACAGCATGTTTACAAGGTTTAGATCTATGTTTTAGGTGTACTTGGACATGCGCAAATGGTATGCAATTTTTTCCGTAGCATATATATAGCACAATCATGTATACTTCTTAAAGGCAGCCTTTTTGAAAAGGAGGAAAAATGATTTTTTTTTAATGCAACTACACCTGACATTTTGGGCTCACGAAAACGGTATGCCTTTGTTGGTATTTTCAACGCATATCATTTATGTTTCACTTTGGAACAAAGACAGCTTGAGTGAAATCGAAATCGGTTAATTTGCGAACAAATATTGTTAATTAACTATTAATGCATGAAAACTCGGGAGGATTCTTCAACATCAAAATATGTACATATAATGATACCCTCCAAAAGGAATACTGGTTGAAATCACGTATCTCTATGAGAGCTTATCCAGATTCTTATGCTTCCATTATTTCGATATTTATTTTAGCGTTAAAAGCCAAGTGTAAAATTTGACTTGGTATACATGTATGTGTGTTCTATCAGTAGATATCTTGAGTAATTTTTTTCAACAAAATTAGAAACAGATACAAACCCAAACACTGATTATTCAAGAATGTGGATTTATTATTGAAGACCAATTCCATGATAGGAGTTTCTGTTTTTAGAAAAGTGTAACATCCTTTTATTGGAGGTTGGTTGTTTGTAATTTCAATTCTGATTACCACACACAGCTGCAGTATATTTCAGACTGGATACCTCAGTCAGAGATAAGGGTATTGCAGATTGATTGGGATGTAAGAACAAAGTTTTCAGCGATTTCCGCCAAAGGATAACAATTGGTGAAGCAAAATCGAAAAATATTTTTACAATAAAATAAATCAAACTATGTGAGTAATTTTATTTTTGTTTTCAAAATGAGTTGCATCTCCCTATTGGCAATTTTATAGCTATAATGAATTTTTTCCAGGATATTTTCCGTAGAATTCAGATTGAGGCTCTCCAACATATTGAAAACATGATCCTCAGGATTGGCGTCGATCCAGTCTTGCAGAATATCACAAAAATTGTTCATTTCCTTTTTCAGTTTGTCGGCCACAGAAAAAACATACTCCTTGTTCTTTGTATCACAGGATTTCTTCTTGCCCTTCTTCACTTGCACAGGTTTCACCAATTCTCCGCACAAAACACATATCAGCGAAGTTATACTGATGATCTGAAAAGACAATCTTCATTCATAATGCTCCTATTGAACATTTTAGCAAGATCTAATGAAACCCTGTAGTTACTTCTTTTTTTAAAATTTTAATATCTTCTTTCAGAGTTCCAGACCAAAAATAAGGTATGAACATTTTCAATGAGACAAAGAAAAAGTACGTACCAATTGAAAAATATACACACCTCCACACAATTTACCGCCAGTTCTAAGGATTTTCGCCTGGCCATCAAATCGTTGGATTTCTTTATTGTGGCGTCCCTCAGAAAGTCCGTTAGCTTATCCAATTCCTCCTCTATGCATTTGACACATTCCATAGTGTGATGGGAATCGTTCCCCATCATGCTGAGGAAGAAATCTAAGAAGGAACTAAACACCGGGCAATAGGGAGCTGCTAAACTGCCGTGCAGTCTCGAAGGCATCGGCAAGGGCAACAAGTTCTGTGTAACAGAATTAATAAATAAAAATAAACTATAGTCCATTTCCAATCTCATTGCAAATAGCAGCAAGCGTTGATTATTTACACTAACATGATGAACAACCCTTATGAGAAATTACAAGGTTGACAAATGACAAAGTGACACTTTTTCAGTATCTTACAGTACCATGACACCTTGCGTCAAACAGTGCGCGAAGTAAAACATACTTCGCGCATTGCATATAATCTAGGGGATTTTTGTATTTTAACCTTTATGGTCTTCAATCAAAGAAATCATTTATTCCCAAACGTTCAACAATAATTGAGGCTTTTTATTCCAGTTCAAGACTATTTTTTATATTAGGCTAAGCATATTACTCATTTTAGGACAGTATTTTTTGAGGTTTGTAGAAAAAATTTTGTTCACAATTTGTGTGTGAAATACTTTGGTGAACAGACTATTTATTTACGGTTGCGCCTCATTAAAAAAAAACAGTTTTGCACTGGGGAATGTCGCATCAGCACCGGATTATAGGAAGTTATTAGTTTTACTGGGCAGCAAAGTAGTAGATTGATTTGGTTTAATTCCCATCTATCAGCCGCGGCAGTCAATCTACATTCGCTGCCGTGTGAAACATATAATTTTTTCTCCAAATGTTATAAAACCAATTTTGTATAATTTCTTTATTGAAAACTCCATCATTTTGTGTTCACCCAATGTCAGTGTCAATTTTGACTACCAATATTACTCGGAAAGTTGCATAGCAACGAACTTTTCCTGCCTAGACAGAGAAAGAACACCTTTTCTGTCTGCTGAGTGTCAGAGAAAAGCCACTTTCTAAGCCGCCAGGAGAAAAAAATATCATTTTTTCAAAGTCAGGATATCAAAGTTAGTCATTTTCCTGCTTCAGAAAGAATATTTCTAGATAGTTCAGCAACTTGCAGATAGGGCAGATTCCGATGAACAAATCGGCCATATTTTACTGAGTTTCATCTTGTTAGTGTGAATAATCAAGGCAACAAGTTGATTTCAGTGAAAAAAATAACAAAAACCATTGCACTAAATGTTCTCTAGTGACTTCAATAGAAAATTGATAGTCGTGTTTATCAAGATATTTTTCCGGTAACTGACCTGTTGAATAGGCGGGAAACAAATCGGCCATATTTTACCGAGTTTCATCTTGTTAGTGTGAATAATCAAGGCAACAAGTTGATTTCAGTGAAAAAAATAACAAAAACCATTGCACTAAATTTTCTCTAGTGACTTCAATAGAAAATTGATAGTCGTGTTTATCAAGATATTTTTCCGGTAACTGACCTGTTGAATAGGCGGGAAAAAAATCGGCCATATTTTACTGAGTTTCATCTTGTTAGTGTGAATAATCCAGGCAACAAGTTGATTTCAGTGAAAAAAATAACAAAAACCATTGCACTAAATTTTCTCTAGTGATTTCAATAGAAAACTGATAATCCTGTTTATCAAGATATTTTTCCGATAACTGACCTGTTGAATAGGCGGGAAACAAATCGGCCATATTTTACCGAGTTTCATCTTGTTAGTGTGAATAATCAAGGCAACAAGTTGATTTCAGTGAAAAAAATAACAAAAAAACATTGCACTAAATTTTCTCTAGTGATTTCAATAGAAAACTGATAATCGTGTTTATCAAGATATTTTCCCGATAACTGACCTGTTGAATAGGCGGGAAGTTGTCCGATAGTGTTTTTTGGTGCAACGCCTTCCATTGGTCGAGCGCATTCCTTAAGGCTTCTACGTGTCGCTGCCTGTCGCCGTCCAAGGATTTGACAATGTCCACTGCTGCGGCCATCGTCCACAAAATGGACGTTCGCAGTCTGAGGAAGCGCACGTCTTGCTCGAACAGTGCTTTGCTCTCTTGCCAATCCTCCGGAGCGTTTTCTATGCTTTCCGGGTCCCAAGACAAGAACACGCCGAGATCGTGATTGTCCCTGGTGAAAAAAATACATTTCATATTATTCAACTGGCCTATTCATCTTGCTTTTACAATGAACATTCATCAATATAAAGCATAGTATTAAAAACCAGTGCTGAGTTTTTGAAATCAAGTTTTTTTTTACAAATATATCACTTGTTGATGTTGTTACACATGAAAGAGGACATACTGAGTAAACTAAAGAATGATTTTGAAAATAAAATGAAAAAATAGTGTTAGATAAGTTTCACATGTACCTCAAGCAATTCCATTCGATTTTGTCCTCTTTGGGTGATATGGTTATGGAGTACAGAGTGTCCAGAGACATGCACTCCACCAACTTGAGCACAATCCTGTCCACCCCAACGGTCGCATAATGTAAACTGTTATTCATTCTTTCCCTGAAGTCCATGAACTCGTCCAGTTTCGTAAACGATCCGAATTTATATGAAAACGTTAGATGATCCGAACTCTGGGAATGTAAAAGAAAAATAATAATCTATGCTGAAATAATGCAATCCAGCAAATAATGGAATTTTGTCAGATCTACATTGGGAGAATAGTATGAAATATTTCTTTGGGACAACTAAATTGTTGAATGTAAAGTACTTGGCTGTAATTTTTTTCACTCACATCTTTATAATTGGAGGAGAAAAATTTCAATGTGGCATCGAAAAGATTAGTGCATAAGGTGAACAGTCCTGTGGTCATCATTCTGGCACAATGTATGTAGCCCAAGGAATCCAGCTGCAAGTGTTTCACATCCAGACTGCTGTACATTTCTAGAGCCTTTGTACCACCACCTGCAAACATACATCTCATCAGAGAAAAGCAATGATAATGAAACAACATCCTATCAGTAAATAAATATGAAATAATTACACATTGAGAAGTGAAATGTGACATAGGATTTGGTATTTCTTATTATATTATGAATTGAATACTTGTCTCATTTCTTAATGAGACAATTTTCCCTTGTGATAATTTGATATTGTTAAATATTTATTGACCTATGTACATTTATTTATTTTTTATCCTTACTACAAGGTTAACTTCGTAAGGTTTTTCCCAGTTTATTCAAATTACCTATATGTTTATTCCAATGTATATTTTGTAAACGTTTTTGAATAAACTTATATTATTATTATTAAAGTGGCACATTTAAAGCAGGCCACCCTCATGAATTTTTATTTATGGAGCGTTTTTCACGAATTTTTTCTTGAAATGTAGAGGGACAAAAGATGTATTCTGGAGCTAAGCGGCGTCCACTTTTTTCAAAAACCAAGGCCTACTAAATCACATTCAAGGGCTGAAAAATCCAGAATCATATTTACAAAAAATCCGCATACACCTCTAGAAACGGCGTCCTCTGAAATAGATCTGTACCAACTTCCATAAGAAAATATTCAACATTAACGAATCTACAGCATGTCTCATTTCAAAGGCCCCCCCCCCCCTCTATATCAAAGCTATTAGATGTGCGTTCTTCACCAAATTGGGACCGGTATGAGAAGCCATCAATATAATCAGTTTTTCAGAGACAAACATCCTATTGGACATGCCGTGGCATTTTTATTGAAATAAAAATGGATCGGTTTTTATGAAATCCTATCAGCAAGAAAACTAACTTCATATTATTGTTCCTCATGCTTTTGAACGTCCATATGCAAAAAATCACCTCATTCCATATCAACAGAATTGGCTTAATTTTTTTCATTTTCAGCCTGGAAAAAATAGTAAATTCAAATTAACTGCAAATCTTGGAACGTTCAATAGCTCCGGTAGGTAGAAAATCGTTATTTTTTTTTATTTTCTTCTTTTTAGAGCGTTTAAATAAAAGCTTTTCATTAGTTTTTTTTTTACTTTCAATTTATTCAATTAAAAATCGCTAATATGGATTCTGAATTTTTCAGCCTCTGAATGTGACCTAGTATGCCATGGTTACACGTTTTCAAAAAAAAATCGTGTAAATCGCCTCATAAATAAAAGGGTGACTGGCTTTTAAATGGGACACTCTGTATATACCATATTACCCTCAAATATTGTAAGCCAGGGTGGATGAAAGAAAAGTAAATAGATTTCTCACCCAAACAGTGATAGAGCCTGACAGCCAACAGCTTGCCATGAAAGTTACTGGGCGAATTGGAGAGCAACCTTTCCAGCAGGGCTAGGGCCACCACGACGGCATCCGATTTCTGTTCGATTTGTGCCAAATCATAGAGAAGATGAGCGGCCAAAAGGGCATAAGGGTCGCACGGGGCCAAATCCGTGGAGAGCAGGCCGCGCCCGTAGGTTTGATACCCATGCTGGTAGTGCAGAGTGAGGGCTGTGATGAGGGCTTTGAGGTGCTCCGGTGACAGGTCACGGTGGCTGCCGCACAGCCGCGACAGTTGAACAGCACAAATGTGCCTTTGCATCTGGGCCTCCTGCATCATAAGTACACCCACTAATGTTATTATTAATTGTGCTCATCGCATCTGGGAAATTGTTAGGAGTTATGGTCAGGTTAGGTTAGGTCAACAATGATATTAAACTTAATAGATTACCGATTGAGGTACACTGGTAGCACTTATTCCCACATCCTTCATCAGCCTAGATGACAGTTCAGTCTTTTTAGGAGTCAGCAACAGATTCAGAAATATACGCAAATCTGATACACAACAAGGCTTGTGACCGAATTTCCTGAAATACTCCATGAAAAGTTCAATTTCATCTCCAAACAGATCATTTGTGTCCATACCTCTACTGGACATTCTAGAACACAATTGAAATCTAGCCAGAAAAGGACCCCTTAGCACATAACCTACAAATATCATAATATTCAGTATTTAATTGAGCAGTTCTCTGAATAGTTCATTAAAACAGAAATCCAACATAGCTACCTACCATTGTCAGCTCCACTCTCTACCATTCTACAAATGAACTCATGAGCTTTCTCAGGAGTATCATCTGCAGTTTCCACAATATTATCTCCACCATCAGAATTCTCCTGACCAGATGTTTGAGTCTGCTGATACATCAACTCAAATACAGAATGTATGTATTCCTTCCATATATCCCACCTATCTGCACTGAAATAAGTAATGAAAAAAATGTTGAACCATTGTCCTGCTAAATGAAAAAACTAGTTGCAACAGCCAAGAATAGTAAAATAATTAATTTCACCTCTCTGCAAGAATGCTTTTGCAAATCAAATTGACATCTTTCCACCTCTGCATTTTTTTCAAATAAGTCATCTTGACCAGACCAAAGTTGGTGCATTGTAATTTGGCACCTAGTGGACCATCCAGCACAGCTACAACTTCCTCTTGCTTCCCCAACAAATCCAAAATCATCACATACAACTGCACCTCTTGTTCAGCATCAATCTTATTTTCTGTCAACAGTTTATCAAACATCCTCTCAGCTAGACTTAACAGCAATTTACGTTTTAGAGGATCTCTGCAGCCCTCACCTCTGGTAGCTTGCAAGATTATGCTCATCACTGCCCAGCAATAGTAAGGGTTTTTAGGTTTAAGTTTGTATAATGCCATGGCACTCTGTTGCTGTAGCTTGAAATCAGATATCCTCACATAGGACATGAACAAATGGGTATGGAGTTCTTCATTGGTGGGGTCTATTCTTACAGCTGTCTCATAAAGTCTGCAAATCTTTTCTACTAAAACAAACATTCATATCAATATGATTGACTACAGGTAACCAGATGATGTGAAATTATTGCTTACACTCTTGCATTTCTCTGTAGCACAATGTCATAGCTTGCAATGTTGCATCATCAGTTGGTTTCTCATTTGTCAAAGCTTCCAAGATTACCCTACTTTCCGATCCCTTGCCCATACGATGAAGTGTTAAAGCTTTCAAAGCCTTTGCACAATGCAGATTTGGTGCTTTCTTGAGGACCTTATCACATTCTTGAAGAGCTTTTTTGTTGTTTCCACTATCTAGCCAGTCTAATGAAAAAATACATTTTGGATTAATCAATACGATATAATGATATAATTCGTAAGAACTCACCATAAATAGGTCGAAGTCTTCTTTCAACTACGGCAGTATCAAGCACGTGCATATTATTTGACTGGGCCTTGGACATTTTTATAAAAGTTAAGTTATAGGTTAGGTTATGTCACATTCGCGCAAGTATTTTTTTCATTAGGTTGAATATATCTATTCAAAATTTCTTGGGGTACAGCTTTCTCAAGAACCCTATATTTGTAAATGAAAAGAATTAAAGTTTTTTATGTTAACTCTAACTCCAAAAAATGTTTCAAAAACTGTCAAACTTCAAAACATCTTCAAAAATAAAAATCACGAAAAAAATTAAGGTTCTTTCCTTTGCTTTTCAGTGACGTGTAAAATCCACTACACTACACTATGAATCAGCCAATGACGGCTAGATATTTAGAACCCGTCACAGTTTAGATATTTAGCCGTCATTGAATCAGCTGATATATCACAGTATGGTGCGCGCATTCGGCCATTATTACGTATTGAAAATTTCAGAAAAATCACTCGACCGCCTACTATGATTTTTCTACGTCCACAACGAGCGAGACGTTGATTCTACATTTTCCCGGTAGATGGTGATGCTGCTATTGCTGCTCAAGGTTGGTAGAACTGATGATTATTTCAGTTCTACCAACCTTGTTGCTGCTCTTGCTGCTGTGACGAGTGATCGAGTGAAAATAAAATGGCAAATGGCATTTTAGGTACGCGGAACATATATGTGTGATCCAGAAGACAGGCGGAAAAGATGTTGAAATTAGTCTGTCCAATGATGAAAAAAGAATGGCAAATTGTTCTAAATGTGATCCAGAAGACAGGCGGAAAAGATGTTGACATTAGTCATAATATAATTGTTAATTTTGTTCTTGTGCAATATGCATTAGCCTAGGGAAGATGTCAGCAGAGATAATCTGGCCAGTAAATCATGATGACTTGATGACATTGATTATAAATGAAGTAAGGGCTATCAAGAATCGTGATCAAGAACAAATAATGACAATGAGATGAGGTGCTAGGCCATGTCCTATAAATTATATCCTGGTGCCATACATATCATACATCATGATTTCATATTCATTGCCAAGAACACCTTTCCAAGAACCAAGAACCTGTTTGTCATTGCTCCATACCTTGTACCTATCTGGAAAAACCCAAATTTGATTGAGATGTAATTGAGTATACTACACAATAATGTTGGTTATGCTAGACATTACTAGAAGTCCAATTATCAAGGTATGGTAATGTCTTGGAAAATGTGTTTATGGTTATAATGTTGTGGAAACACTTCTGAAAATAGGATTTAGTATGGATTTAGTGGAATCTGCAGTAGCATTTTGGGAATTATACAGAAACACACTGTATAATTATATGTCTATAGTGACTGTGAATTTATATATTAATATGAAATACATGTTCATTCAGTATAGCAGATGATGAAATGGACTAGGTTTATGAAGACTATACAATATACTACTTATCCTGAATTTGCTATTATTTTTTCAGTAACATCTGAAAATGGAATACAAAACATCCCTCTTCATCTTATTGTTGCTGTCATGTCTACTTCTATATGTGTCTCCAGTGCGAATCCCCCAGAATCCTTGCCCCAGGATATTCTCATACTACAAAGATGCAAAAGGGCTATTATATGGAGAAACTAATATCCCATATGATAAAGCTACTTTCATGACACTGAGCATCAATGCATCCTTAGCTGGAAGATTCAGTAACAAAGTGGTGAGCACATTTTTACCTATAAACATAGTAGCTCTCAATATACAAATAGGTATATACTTATAGAGAATGCCAAATTTTATGGTTTCATATTTAATCAATTCCTAATTTATTTGTTCATTCTAATCTGAATTCTACCAGTGAAAACTTCAGGTTACTTTCTATCTACATTCATTTTACCTATTCAGGTTTGGAATGGAATAATCAAATATGACTATCTTCCATATTCCATGACTACCTACATTGTTATTTTCTGCTTTTTCCAGGAATTGAAGTTACAACTAAAAACTGCCTTGAAACAACTCATGGCCAATGTTAGTACAGTGACTTACAATATTTTCTTTCCATCCCAGGAGATTATTCCCAAAATAACACAAATAACATACAATGGAAATGTTTTCTGCCAAGGACCACCTGAACCATGTGAGTATACCTACTTACAAATTGTTGATATTCTGTCATGTTCATGTTGTATACAGGGTGATTCAAAAGTAAGCGGCATCCTTTCAGAGGCGTATTCCTTGCTTGAAAATAAGGCAAAAAGTTCCTATTGATAAGGATCCGAAAATGCTTCCTAAGGGAGCTACGGCCCTTTGAATAGGACACCTCAAAGACGGTTTTTTCTCTATAACTTTAAAATCCTTCACAACAAATTTTTAAAAATTGGTGTACGGCATAAACATTCGATGGTAAATAGGACTCCGTATTCGAAATTTCAGAATTTCATTCAGGGGCGTCACATGCGGGAGAGGGTAAGTGTAAAAATATCCCTTCTTCTCCGGATATTCAGGTTACTGTGATTTCGTTTGGAAATTATTTCGAATACGGAGTCCTATTTACCATCGAATGTTTATGCCGTACACCAATTTTTAAAAATTTGTTGTGAAGGATTTTAAAGTTATAGAGAAAAAACCGTCTTTGAGGTGTCCTATTCAAAGGGCCGTAGCTCCCTTAGGAAGCATTTTCGGATCCTTATCAATAGGAACTTTTTGCCTTATTTTCATGCAAGGAATACGCCTCTGAAAGGATGCCGCTTACTTTTGAATCACCCTGTATATAGAGTGTAATACTTGGTGTAATATTATGGTTTTGTGAATTTATTCCTATATTTGCTGTAGCCACTCAACAACACAGCTTTTTTGACAAAGAATCAAACAAAATTTTAGAATAGACTTGAAACTTGAAATGGAAAAACACCCAAGTTTACCATCCTAACCTGGCCATCAGTGTCTGCTCCTGCTCCTGCATAACCAAGGAGATGGCATAACTATACCTAGATTGGAATTATTGATGATCATTTATTTTGCAGTGATCCCAGGTACACAAGGTATAACAAATCTATGGTATTCAACAATGTTCCAATTCACCAGAATACCAGAGTGGAATCTGATCCAGGAATATCAAGATCCTGGAATTCCAGAATCTGAAATACCTGTGAAGGACCCGGACGATAACATCTTAGATACGAGGATACCGGTAGTCCAGAAAAGGCCTACTGATACATCAGAAGAAAATAATGTCAGTTATGGAGAATATCCATCAATGTCTTCATTGTCTACCCCAACACCACAGGAGGTTGTCAGGTACGTGATTTGCTCCAGTGAACCAGTTTTCAATTTTTTTTTCATATAACATGGATCTTTATTTTCAGTCAATTGCCTACTGTAGTGACAAGTACTTCAGAAGTTGAAAAACTAAGTTATAAATGTGGAATTCCAAAACCTTCAATAAGACCCCTCATTCTTGGAGGTACCGATTCTGCAGTCGGTCAGTTTCCCTGGCTAGTAGCACTAATGTCAAAAAATGACTCATCTGATGAATATGAGTACAAGTGTTCTGCCACCCTTATATCCCACAAGCATGTGGTAACTGGTAGGTAATTATGCAGAAACTCACACTGATTTACAATCATCTCAGATAACACATATGCATACAAATTTTATAATATACAATGTGATTCAATATATTATGTTATTCCTTGAGTGGGTATATCCTTCAATTCATTATGTTTGACAGCTGGCAGATGTGTGCAATATTACAGACTCCAAGTGCTCAAAATCCAAGATATGTTGCTGGTAATGGGAACCAATGATGTAACGAACTGGGAGGCAAATGGTGCAGTGTCACGTAGGGTTATCAAAGTTAATACCCATCCAGATTTTATGAGAAATCCAAATTCTGCACATGCTGACATTTCTGTAGTGACTATGGGTTAGTGTGACATAATATGAGGATTATTGATATATGATTTGATAATGTTATTGATTATTGAATTCTTTATATATTCCTGCTGTTATGCAACCCAATGCCCAACATTATTTTCTTGGGTAATGATATAGACAGGATAGGATAAAAATATGTACCTATATTTCAGATAACCAAGTTAGTTTTTCTGACTTTCTCATTCCTGTTTGTTTGTGGATGGAAGACACAGATTTGTATCCCGTAACCAACAAAGTTGGTACCGTAGCAGGATACGGCCAAGACGAGATAGCAAGAAAAAATGGTGCTCTGCATGTATCCCATGCCATGTATGCCGATATGAAAATTGTTTCCCAATATGATTGCCTACTTTCAGAGATTGGCTTGTTACAGATCACTTCTGATAAAACTTTCTGTGCAGGTTAGTTGTTAGTTATTTACATAGTCATTACTACATTGCTAAGGGTGAAAACCTGAATGACAACCAAGGTCTACAAATCCACAGAAAATAGACTTATTTGAAGGATAAGATGGAATTAACTATATGGAGAACAAAGTAAATAAGTAGCATCATTGGAGGATCAGGAAAAATATTCACAATTAATTCAAATCGGGATGCGAGTTTGCACTTATTCGCATTTTTTTTTTTTTGAGGTGGTGAAATCCTGTTTACCCCTTCTCTCCTGAGGAAGGGAGTGTGGCGGAAATTTAAGGTGCAGCACTGATTCACTTGACTCTTTGCTAAAACAAACTTTATTTCTATTGTTTCACAAAAAATGTATACATAGGTCATAACTAAATTTACAATAGTTTAACAAAGTACATAAGCTGCCTCACCATAAAAATATCAATAATATGAACGAATTATAATGAAAACTACGGAATACTATTTGATCAAAGAAAAAAAATGTCTGCCGACTGTCGCAACGCAAATAGTTCCCATCGATTCTAGCGCTGTTGCCAATACGCACTTATACAGGGTGTTAACAAATAAGTGTCACAACGGAAAACTGTAGATTCCTCATGAAATAAATTAAAAGTAAAAAAAAAAACTTTTTGATAAAAAGCTTTTATTTAAACGCTCTAAAAAGAAGAAAATGAAATTTTTCTTAATAATTTTAACTATCAACTTATAACCTCATTATACACAATTTATATGATCATAAAAGTTTGTCGCGCGATTCACTTGTGTAAATGAACTAGTACCTATCTGCTGATAAAATTTTTAAAATTACAATGTAATTAAATATTGATCATCGCGACAAGCTTTTATGATCATATAAATTGTGTATAATCAGGTTAAAAGTTGAGAGTTGAAATTATTAAGAAAAATGTTATTTTCTTCTTTTTAGAGCGTTTAAATAAAAGCTTTTTATTAAAAAGTTTTTTGACTTTCAATTTATTTTTCAATTTTTAGTTATCGCTAGCTGGATTTTTCGATTTACTCTCAAACGAGCCTTATCATTTGATATACCCATATTGTTGAAGTATATTGAAAATGACCATTTCGCTATCTTGGATGGTCCGCCATAATGGATTTAGAATGACGTCACATCATTTTTCGAGTTACTCTCAACGAGCCGTTTCATTTGATACCCATATTGTAAAAGTATATCAAAAATAGCTATTCCGCCATCTTGGATATAGTCCGCCATATTGGATTTAGAATAACGTGACACACCTTATCGTGCATTGTCATCCAAACTGAACGTGTATACAAATTTTCAGCTCAATCGGTTGACGATTTCTACTTCAAAATTGAGTTCAAAGATTCCACCCGAACATACATACATACAAACATACAATGCAAGTTAAATAAAAGCTTTTAATTTAAAAAGAAACATTTTTTTGCCTTTTGAAATTTTTCTCCGGGCTTCCGTTTTCAAGATACGACAGGTCATCAAGAAAATACAAAAATCTGTTTTTTGCTACTATCTCAGGAACCGTTTGAGCTACGGAGTTGAGCCTTCCTACACACTTCATCATCAATAATGACTACTTTTAGGGCTCTTGATCAATTTCCTTGGACATGTCAGTGGAGGAGAATTCAACGCCTCGTAAGGGTTCAACCCCCCAAACATTCATGCCACTTGAGAAATTGTAATTTTCAAAGTAGATTCTGAAGCGCTCATATCTTTCACACAAAATCGTTCTCTTATCTCAATGCTCTAAAATGAACAGTTTCCGCGAAAAATGGCTTTTTATGAATAAGAACATACAAAATCCTGATGGTATCTCCAAAAATTGTCTAAAAATCCACTGAAAATAAACACTTCAGAACTGTCTAATAATATCTTCAATCAAATATCAGGTTCTTGAGTATGCTGGTATCGATGCTGGTTTTCAAATTGTTAAGTTTATTGTGTGTTTGTAAAGTGTGTTTAATTAAACTGAACATTTTGAAAACGGAAGCCCGGAGACCGGAGAAACATTTTGAATAGGAAAGAAATGTTTCTTTCATTATCAGGAATCTACAGTTTTCTGTTGTGACACTTATTTGTTAACACCCTGTATAATATTAATATTTTCGAAGTATGTTCTGTTAATTTCTTTATTATATAGAGAAGTTATAGAGAAGTGATGAATATTGTCGTACGTCAGAAGTGGTTATAATATGTAAAAATTATAAATTATCCTCCCAAGACTTGCCTTCATGGGAGGGGCTGCAGCCCGGCAGCCCCCCCCTGGATACGCGTATGAGACGAACTAATACCAGCAGGTAGAGGTTGATATAAAAAATAAGCTATTTGAATCCCCTTGCAACAGCTTTTCAATATCATCCTACTGTTTTTGAGATCATAATACAGAGGTGGTAGGTATGCGGATATGCGGGTTGAGGTTGACCTGTTTTATTTTCAGATGGGGCAAGCAAGGGTCCTTGTATAGGAGATAGTGGATCAGGGTTTGTACTTCATTCAAATGGAGTGTACCAACTTCGAGGAATATCATCCTATGCTGTGACACGAAATGGAACATGTGATCTTGAGAACAAATATGCAGTTTTTTGTGATGTAGCCAAATTTTCAAAATGGGTTGAGTCTTGTATGCAAAACTAAATGTATTTTTTACTATGAAGGTTTTGCAATTTCATTATAGGAACCTGCAAAACTGATCTGATTCAAGAATAAAATAGAATTAACCTTAACTAACTACCCTTACCATTCCTTAAATTTTTATCCAAATATCATTTTGTTTTGAAGCTGATAGCAGTTTGAATTCACTAGTTTCTCCAGGCTGAAAATTAAAAAAAGTTAAGCCAATCCTATCAATTTGAAATGTGATTTTTTTGCACAATATGGAGGTTTGGAAGCATGAGGAACAATGTGAAGTTAGTTTTTATGCCAAAATATTCCAAATATGATTTCATAAAAATCAAGATATTGAGGGATATAGAGGAAGGGGCTTTCAAAGTGAGATATGCTGTATCTATTTGGTTCCTACTTATCAAAGATATAAATAGGAACTGTACTGTTCGAAGCATTTTTAAATGCCGAAAAATGAATGGAGATTAGTACAGACTCGTTCGATAAATGCGACTGAATGACCCTAATACATATATTTACTTTCGTGTAACGTGCCTTCAATTTGATGAACTTCTATCAATGGTGGGACCAGAAATAAAGAAATTAATATGACAACAGAACCCTTAACTCCTGCATATTTTGTCGCATGAGTATGAACGTCAAATTCTGTCGGAAATTTCATATTTTGCGATTCGCATAAATTTTGCGGAATTCGTACATAAGCATGAACATACCTTAAAGCAGCAGGACTAGGCATATCATGGGATATAATCAGATGAGCGGCGGGATGGTCTAAGGAATCATCCGTTTTTGCCAAGTTTTACAATCGCCCTAACAACAAAAATCCTGGGGTACTTACTAAGGCATCAGTCTTCAATAATAATAATAATAATAATATCGGTCAGAATAATCGACGTATTGAATTACCTATATAGATCATAATATTATCATACCAATAGCATTATGAAACCATGCAACCTGAGCCCCAAGTTTAAATTTGAATAGTTAATAATTTTCGGCTATTTTTACACAGAGCCCAATCGTTGATTGATATATTACGCTTACACTATGTGAGATTTCGAACTATGGTACGCCATCTAGTTGTGAGATTTTTTTGGACCTCGTTTTGCCCCATAAAAGGTGCGTTCGGTTATAACATATCTGTTAGCTCGATTCCATCTGTTAGCTCAGAAAGCGTTCGATAAATCAGAATAATCAGATATACTTCCTCTGTCTAATCTGCTCCGTGTTCGTTAATTGTCAGAGCGAGCTGAAAGATGTAATCTGTTTGCTCCGCCTTGAGGAGCAGATCATTCAGATTTGATCGGTTATTCGGCTGTCAATTGTCAACAAATCAAGGTCAACAACATATTATTGAAATTATATCTCTTTTATGTCGAAAAATTGAAGACTCGATCAACTGGAAACGAAACACGAAACTGAATTTTGTAGAATCCTCCTTGCCCAGAATCGCCAGAATGACCGACGAATTTGCTGTAGGTAGCATATTAATTATATATCTGTAATAAATGCGATCACAACTGCCCTGGATCCACAGTTAATGACCGATCATATGGGACAGAATCATTCCTTCCCTAGTAATTATCAAAATATAACAACAAACATTCAAAAGAACTTTGTTGCCCTGACGTGTTTTTAAAAGTAATAAGGTTAAGTGAATTGTTTCTGTTTTCTGTTACTTCAGCTGGCGCTCGCAATCTACTACCTCCTTGAGCGTTCGTTAAATATCTTTAGCTCTATCTGCTAGGTGATCACGTGACACCAAATCTGCATCTGCTCGCTCGGCTCCGATTTTGTTAAACCGAACGCACCTAAGGTTGGGCATCTTCCCAGCGTAAGCGTAATATATCAATCAACGATTTTAGTGAACATTTATCAGCCACTCGACTGGCCAAATGCGTTGGATGCTAGTAAACGGAAACGTTTAAAGCTGAAAGTTGCATGCTAGTCGAGTGGCGGCGGGGGGGTCCTGGTGCTGGGGCTCCCCTGTTTGATTTTGACTACAATGGCCTTGAGAATAATTACCCAAAAATGAAAATAAAAACATCTTTTCTGGAACTTCCATCATATTTCTGATGATTTAAAATTTTCTAGCCATGATGACGGCGACACGTATCATATTGAAAAACTAAGGATTTATGTAATTATTTATATTGAATAAAGTTTAACCAAGTTCATCTAATTTTCTACATAATATCTTCAACAAACCGACAAACTGGAAAATTACTATTTATCTCCCTCTACATCCTACATCAACTTGGAAAAATTATCTCAATTATTTTTCAAAATAATTATTCTACTCTTATTCAATAATTCCCCTAATGGTATTTTTCCCCAGTAGGTACATATTTTAGCAATTTGTTTCACTATGAAGATATAAATAACTTCAAATAAATTAAAAAAAGTCTGGACTCAATGCGATTTCGAACCTAGTCCCGCTCGGTCAGAGTTTCTTCATAGCTTGAATATCGAATATGGGTCAAAATCGTTTGAACGCTATTTCGGAGCTGACTGCTGATGACCGCGCCCGTTGTAACAAAATAACCCTATACAAATTGAAGTGGAATGGGTGGTCGGAAAGCACAATTATAACAACAAGATGTGCACATCTAATCCGTTTAAGCGTAATATATCAATCAACGTCTAATTAATGAACTGAATGTAGAGAAGAGATGGTCACGTGACGAATTATAGTTCCAACTGAATCTAATAGATGGGAAGTATACAAGGTTAGTAGAAATAATCATCATTTCTACCAACCTTGGAAATATATTAGTTTTATTTGAAGTGGGTGGAGTTTATTTTATTGATCCGCACTACTGAAATTAGGCAATCCACACCACGTAGCTGGCAAGATGGCGTCTGGTTGGCAAACAAAGATTGTACAATTTATACATCACTTGTAATTGTATTGTCTTTTCCCTATTCTGGTAGTTTTATGTGTCAGGTGTTTGAAGGAGTCTCGGGAGTTGAATTGAATTGAATTAGTTTTCCCAGTGCTTCAATATGCAATGTCATATTTCAAGAAGTTATTGCATGAAAACCCAGAGGTAAACATGAATATTTAATGTTATTTCGTCTATTTTTCTCAACTAATCATTAATTTTCATGCCTGATACTATCATAAAACCATAATTTGTTTGTAGATATCTGATGAGGCTGATGTTGATCAAGGATTTGAAGCCCTTCACATCTGAAACTGCTGACTGATTAGACTACCTGATAATTATACTCTTCTACTATTATAGTGACCCACAGTTTTTACACTCATAGGCAGATGAAAGCCTACAAAACGCTTGTTGCTCACAAGTATTTTTCAGCAACTTTTGTCCAGGAAGTAGAAAGGAAGATGAATGATTTTCATGTCATAGTTGGATAGGTAACTTTTTACTTTTATAGGAGAAATTTACTGTCATGATTTTTATTAGAGATTCAGGTTATTTTAAAAAAACTAGTTCAGGTGGAAACGTAGATGGACGCGCCATCTACATTTCGTTTCCGAAACCTTGAAAAATCTTTCCCTTCTTTTAAACAGGGAAGTGTGCGCAGGTTGTTCTGTGGGTGGCTAATCTCTGCCAGTTAAATCAATTTTCATTAAAATCTGTAACACAAAATTTCTCAATGTTTATATTTTTCAATCATCGCCTGCTTTCTTCAACAAAGGAGTTTGATTTCTTAAATTACTTCAACTCCTAGATTGAGCTTTCGTCCTTACGATTATCCAAACCGATTGTCGTGAATCGAGAGATTAGCCACCCACAGAACAAGAAGCGCACTTCCCTGTTGAAAATTGGAAAGATTTTTCAAGAAGGTTTTGGAAACGAAATGTAGACGGCGCATCCATCTACGTTTCCACCTGAACTAGTTTTTCAAAATTCAAAATAACCTGAAATCTCTAAATCATGACAAAAGAAAATTTCTCATTTCTATTTATTACAGTAGTGCGGATCGGTAAAATAAACTCCACTCACTTCAAATTAAACAAATATATTTCCAAAGTTGGTAGAAATGATGATCATTTCTACCAACCTTGTATACTTCCGGATGTTGTTGCCATCTATTAGATTCAGTTGAAACTATAATTCGTCACGTGACCATCTTTCCAAAGATGTGCACATCGCACATCTTGTTCTGTGAGTGGCTAATCTCTGACTCCTAGATACACTAAAATGCCATATCCTGCCCAAATTCTGCCTTCCAAATCCACACCGTTCCAAAGAAAACGAGAAAAAAATGGCGTCGATAATTGGTGGCAACCTACATAAATTGTGTCTGAATTCAGGCCTATTCAGGGTACATTAGTTCAGCTTCTGTCTTATAGATGGCGGTGCAAAATTTCATTGGTTGGAAGCAGGTTGAAGTCAGGGTTGAAGTATTGATTTTTTGAAACTGACATACGTATTGAAGGCGCGTTTACAAGTAAGCGATCCGCGTTCAACGTATCAAATCCTCATTGGTGGATAGATTGACAGCCGTCGCGTAAATGTATGTTTACTCAATCACAACACGATTCTACAAAACTAGGTGGACATTGTGAATCCACCTTAGAATAGTTTATTTTACATGTATTATTGTATTGTCAATGGAAAAATAGTAATTAATAATTTAGAATCAGAAACATAAGCAGGTCATGAGGATATTTTGTTTTTGTGAACGATAAATCATCATTTACCTATGTGCAATGTGAAATTTCTTTTTGTAATTTTAGGTTAGGAACAGATTTCAGGATAACTTCCAAATGAATGTCTTCAATTCATCTTATTTTTCCATAAGCTGATTCTGCTAAGTCTACTGAAGGAAATGGAATGAATTTATATATAATTTATAAGAAATTCCTTGAAATTATATCCTTAAGTATTGAAGGTAGGTTTTAGGTTTGCACATATGAAATAAAAATAATCATGATTTTGAATGAAGAATTTAATCAAATTATGAGAATTACCTACTCAATTAAGAAATGATCAATATTTTGACTACATCCATCACTTTCATCAGCTTCTTCAGGATATTGA